TATATATATATATATATATATATATATATATATATATATATATATATATATATATATATATATATATATATATATATATACATACATACATACATACACATATATACATACATACATACATATATACACATATATACATACACGTTACAACGATGATAAATAGACCATTAATTTATAATTCATAAAAATGTAATCTAATTTAGTCGGTAAGCATGCAACGTGCCTCAAAGTCGGAGTTGAGTTTTGACTGAAGTTCTGGGATATTGTCTGCAGAATAGTATAGAAGTGTATCATCAGCATAGAGTATCGACTTGCAGTGTTTGAGGCATTCAGGTAGGCTATTAATGTAAATTAGAGAGAGAAGAGGTCCGAGAATACTTCCCTGCGGAACACTGGTTTAGGCGTAGACATTGAATTCGATAGATGTGATGTAAACCATACAAGAACAGAGGTAGAGAATCCAATCGATTTTAATTTTTCGTGCAAGATTGTGTGATCTACCGTGTCGAGTGCTTTTCGTAGGTCAATGGAAACGGCGCCCGTAATCTTTTTGTTATCGAGGTTAACGAGTACTTGTTCAGTAAAGTGAGCAAGGGCAACAGTGGTGGAGAGTTTGGAGCGAAAACCGAATTGTTCAGAAGCCAATAACTTATGCTCTTGTAGATAATTGTAAATTTGACGGTGGACTATACGTTCTAATAATTTTCTCAAAGTCGGTAGAATGGTGATTGGTCTATAGTTGTTCGGTGACGTTGGATCGCCAGATTTGCAAATAGAGGTAACTTTACCTTTCTTCCCGATGTCGGGGAATGAACCACAGCGTAGCGAGAGATTAAAGATCTTTGTGAGAGTTGGTGCAAAAGCGCAGACGGTGTCTTTAAGCAGTTTAACACTAATCCCATCTTGGCCAGTAGCCTTGTTGGTTTTTAGTTTGCTCAGTTCCTGAAACACAATTAATTCGTCGAGGAAATGTAGTGGTAGACGCGCGTATAACTTTGGTTTGAATTGATCTTTTAGACCCGCAAGTTTAGACCCTATAGACGTGAAATAGTCATTTTAATGACTGTTAAATGGTTATTTTATGTACTATTTAAAAAACGAGTAGGAGTGTTTTATTAGGTTTAAAGCCATGCACGAGCGCGCAGCGCGAGTGGCTTTAGACCTAATAAAACACGACCCGCGAGTTTTTTAAATGACTTCAAAAACGTATGCATAATAAGTCAAATCTTTATATAAAAATCTTTATATAAAAATCTTTATATAAAAACC